ATTGGTTCTTAATCACATTTTATAATAGAATAACCAAATTTTATTTAAAGTATATAGGCACGTTCTATTATAGCAAAAGATAACTTCAGGTAATTTCTATTAAACGAGACCTAAATGGAATTCCCCCTTATTTCTTTTTTGTAAGTTGGTTATAACATTATATAAATTTATAATGCAAATATGGTCTTATGAAAACACTGCAGATACAGAGACAGCTAGGGGACAACAAGTTCCGCAAGAATTCGAATTGAAGCATTCAAAACTCTGAGGGTGCTTGTTGCTAAGGTAATGTTATGGATATGCTTTTCGAAAAGGTTCTAACAGTTAGGAGCTATTTACTTTGAGAAAGTGTTTTTTGCTTATTTTGTTTTCACAATGAAACAGGAAACAAATTGAAAACAAGATGACAAATATTGTAATTAAAAGTGAAAACATAAAATATAAACAAGAAATGAGAAATACAAGTATTTATAGAGCTGAAATAGTTAATGTAGGAGTAGAAAGGAAGTTAAGATATCTTCTCGAGAAAAGATAAAAAAGGAATAAAAAAATCACAAAAAGTTCATCCAGGTTAAATTTTTTTTTTAATTTCCAATAGTCATCAATCAACAAATACACAGAAAAAGGAGGAATAAAATTGTCAACTGTCCAAATCATGTACACCGTTAGACTCAATCTTAAAGCCACTTGCTATTTAATGAAGTTGTTAGCAGATATATAAGTTGCACTCCAAAAATTGAGGCGAACTATATGAGACTTTCTAACATAAATGTTTAAGGGTGAATTGAGCATTGATTTATATGTAAATTTTATTATAACCAGAGTTTGTAATTCATCTTGTATTTGTATCACACCATCTATGTTTTTAGTCAATCTCTGCATGTAATTATTTAAAGATGGGTCTGTTTTATTTAATTAGATTAAATAATTAACAGAAAGTTTATAGAATACAATTGTTACTTGTTAGTATATAATCCAAGAGTAAGAGTAGAATGTTTTAAATATACCCAAGTATATAATCATTAGTTCTCACATTTATGAAAACAGTACAGCTTGTATGAGTCTAACATGCATGCATATCTATAATAAAAAAATGTGTTGGCTCATATGTGTGTGCTTCATAATTTAGGTTCTGTAGTTGGACCTCGCAATAAGCATATTAATCCACTAGTACTACTAGAGTATACTTACATTAGGCCAAGAAAAAAGTTGAGGTACGCTCTCCAAGTCAATTCCAAGGAGGATGAAGAGTGTGCTCAGATCCTAGCAACTAGTCTCACCATAAATTGAATATTTTGGGAATCAATTAATCAGTTATATGGGTTTTGGCTCGAATCCAGATGGATAGCGAACTGTGCATGTTTGAAATCTGTTATGTCTCTTATACTTCTGTAATTAATCAAGCCTTCAATCAATTAGTGCATCATCTGGTGGTGGTGATTGTATTTGCATGGGAAGGAAACTGTCTTGATACAGGGATTTGAGAGGGAGAAGAAAGAGTGAGTGAAATTCGATTCAGGAATCCTTACATTATCATGCACTTGTCGTCTGAACAAGAACAATACTTGAAGCTACTCATGGATAATAGATAGATTATCATTTGTTGTAGAACTACTCACGGATAAGTCCCACATCATTGAGAAGACATAACACCATATTGTTCTTGTATTATAAAATGCACATTTCAATCATATACAAATCATACCTTTCTCGGCCTTTTGGCTAAGATCAAGTGTAGTATCTGTTCTTATCAGTTTAATATCTGATATGTGGGTCATTGGCTCACACGATATTAAATTTATTTTTTGAAGGGGAAGGTTCAAACAGTAGCTTGCTATTGGGGCCTTCATGTGTCGCCTATGTGTTGCACTGCAACATGGGCCTGGCACACCCTACCATTGAGTTTAAAGTTTTTGAATTTAGTACAGTTATAGATTTTTCTGGGATATAAGAGTTTACATATTTATTTGGATATGCTTTTTTGTTGTCATGCAGTTCAGCATGAGTACACTTTTAAACATTCTAGTTTAGTCAGATATACTTGAATTTTTTTTAAGTTGTACATTATATCTGATCACTTTTTATGAAACTTTTAGACTATGTAAATTAGTTGTAGATCTGTCTTGTGATCTCGCTAATAAAATAAGTATCTTAATTGTTTAATAAATACTATATGTTGGCTGTCAAGGACTATACAGCAGAATTTCTGCGCTAATTAACCATTGAAATTTGATATACCAAAATGCTCGCAAACAAAACTGCTAGTAAAAGTTCTATTTCAGCTTTTCCTTTTCATTGAAAATCAATAAAAAGGTGACAACTTAAATTCACTTAATAACAATAACACCAAGCAATATAAATGTAAAATGGGGTGTTGCATTCATTTTTATCATAACCTAGATACCCCATAAGCAAATATGAGTCTAAGGTAGTTAAAAGACAAAAAAGAAAAAGGAGACTAAATCCATAAAGAGCTTTCAATAACTTAGGGGCTGGTGGAAAGATATTGGATGTACTTCATCATGTATCCTGTGCAGTTAGGTGGGTGGTTGTAATGCTTCTGTCTAGGATTGGTTTAAATCCTAAACCCTCAATGTATCTGACCAACAGAAGTGTTGGCTGAAGTCCCACATTGACTGAAGCATGATGAAACTGATAGAAGCTATTATAAAAGGAGTAGTGATGCACAAGTGAGTATCTTTGCGCTTGGGGCAATGACGCAGCTAGTGAGGTTCTAACTATTGCTGGTTGAAAACTATTTCCAAACCCCCTCTTTGGCCTGAGTTTTGTATTTTTTTTTCTTTCAATCTATGTTTCTATAATTAAGATAGGTTTTGGGTGGTGGATGGCCCACGAAAAAAAAATCTGAATGAAATTGTTGATAGTTTCCATTTTCTACATACCCAAAATACATATCAATATTAAGAGAAATTTTTTCTTTTCATTTGAGATAAGTATGAGAATGTGTTATCTCCCACATCAGCAGAACCTATAAGCATGTTATCTTAACACTTTTATTGTTGGTTGATTCCGGTATACTTAGCTGTCAATTCTTTACTTATTCTTTTGAAACCTTTATCTATATCTCAATAATAGGTTGATAAAGTCCAAACAGTATAATAGCAAGCATAAATCTAATATATTCATTCAACCTTCAGTTTGATGTTCTTTCATGAGTGTTTCACCGCTTTGGCTGCCTCACTTGCAACAACGAGATCTTCGAACTATTTGTAACATTATCATGCCACGAAATCTTTTGCAACATTTTCTTAGCAGCTTCTTTTTGCCACTTTCAATTAAGGAGTTGGGCTTGACACCAAATAAAAGAGACCCTACACATAACATGACTGCAGATAATATTATCTATTTACCATGAATATTTTGTCTACATATTAATATTGTGTTGAGTATCTTTTAAAATATAGAAATTATTTGATTTTCCAATTCATGTGTAGTGTTTTTATTCCAAATAATTTTCGCAATTTTTTTTTTTTTAAATATGTTTTGTTGAATTATATTTCTAAAAATATTACGTTAAATTTAATATTTACAATCAAACAAGTGCTAAGTATGTTGGTATGAATAGATTTTTAATAGTAAATTAAATATAAAAAAAAAAAAAGAAGAAATATGTGCACAATATATTTTAACTTTAATTCATCCCCCACTAATGTTATGATTTGCGTGCAATTTATGTTGATGATAAATTTTCTCAAGAAAGATGTGAAGACTTTTGTGACTATCAAAACTCAAGCCATGGCAATAATTATTGTATTTAGTGGTAGTGTTGTGTCTAGTTGTGCAGAATTGGCCTCCTGATTATTTTTAGTGATACAACTACAACTACTATAAAAAACAAAAATCCCTAGAAATTATTCGAATGTATTCCGATGTTTGTGGTCAGAAATGAGCCAAGAAAATATTTGGGAAAGTCCAAACCAGAGAGAGAGAAGATTATTATCGTAACTCTTTATCGTTTCATCGAGAAGACATGGATGCGGTGATCTCCGGTT